AGATGAACTGTGATCTCAGGTATTTGACACGAAATAAGTAATTAGGCCGACTAATAGCGTTATCTCAAAAACTATCATTACTTAAAACGACCAATTTGATAAATATTAGCGTTGGCTCCTTCAGTCGAGCCCCTAATGGCATTTTCCCATTAACCAGAAAAAAGTAAATGTTCTTTTGATTATATATACAAACCCTCGGGGAACCGAAATAAATCTATCAACTCGAGTGTGAAGTAGCAGCTACCACTGATGATCTACCACGTACAATTATTTTCTAATCTTCCATTTCCACTTGAAACCAATTTACAGTGTGTTTGGCTTAATAGACAGATTTAGCGGTTCTGTCTGAAGATGGTAATTTAGTTTCGAATTTATGTAATTCCATCATCCAGTTTTAGTTTAGAGTTTTGACGATGTTTCTCTTGAGATTCCACTAAAATAAGCTGCGTTCAGGCACTCTGGTGATTTTCAATTTTTCGCTCATTCACTTTGTATTCAGATATGTTTGCTATAATTAATGCATTATTTCGTTCTCTTGAGTTGCTGCTATTTTATTGAACATTCAGAGGATTCTAAAGACTATCCATGACTTGGATGGAAATGTCGGTTCAGCAGATAATGATGATCCCACTTTGGCGCAATATTAAAGTAGTAAAAACTATGCGATTTCACGTTCCCAGAAGATAAATTGTAAAAATAATCGAGTAACATAAAAAGATTCCGATTTGTGGGCAAATACAACTACAATAGTATGGCAGTCGGCATGAAAGCGATTTAACAGTTAACCAATTCCGTTGCGACTAATTCTGTGAAAATACCATTAGTGCATTTTTTCGAATCACCCATATCATCAATTAAATCTTTGGAGTGTATATTTTTTAATTGTTTTCGATAGTTTGATTGAAGAGCCGCGCTAGCTTGTTTGTACGTTTAAGAACGCCGAGTTGAAAGACCGACATGGTTTAATAAATGATTGGATGGGTACTGGACGATAATAACGGCTTTAAGATATGTAGGCGTTAAATTTAATTAAAAAACGTATAACTTTCAATTAAAAACCTACTATCAACCGCAAACAGGTACCTCTATTCGGTCAAGAATTAATCCAATTCGATTATTTGAAGAAGCACCGTAACTGGTTATTAAAACCATAAAGCAGCGAAATTATTCTTTACTTCACGGTTGTCTGTTTATCCAAAATAAATGGATGGTACTTTAATGCGGAGTAAAGGACTATTTAATTATTTAAATTAGTCTTCGGATAACCTACCGAGAGTGTAATGCTGCAGTAAACTAAGGATTTTCCTCTAATGACTTGAATCTCATTTTTGTTTCCTTTCAAATATTCCACCGTATTTGATAATTTATCTTTAATTTAAGCCGATGTCCAAAATTGTGAACAGTTGGTCAATTTCATTTTCGTATTATTTTCTTTAATCCTGATTATGTTCCTAATTTAGGCAAACCATCTAAATGGTAGAACCTCTTGCGTAATGTTTAAGTGAAATCTGTACTTAACTCATGCTGATTTAAATTCGAAAACGAATCACATAGATTAAAATTACATGAGTGATTAGAAATCGAAATCAATGGCCTCAATGGGTTCGAAAAAAGCAAGAAAATTACAAGCGAAAAGACAATCATCCGCCATCAGAACCCAATCGAACCGATTGTATTCGCAGAACGCCATATTTTTCGCGCTCCGCTTTTTAAATTTGGTCGCTTCGACAAAATTACACGTTTCAACTACGGCGAGGGTCCAGAAACAAGATAATTTAATAAATAATAATTTAAAAAACGGTAGACAACTACCATTTACTGAAGAAGTTCGTCTGTGGATTCATTATAAAAGTCGGCACAAACGTTTCGCCTTAACAAAACTCAATTAATTTAAGTTCTTCGAAAATAACAGGTCTTCGGTTCGCACCAGTTCGAGTTAGAAGGCGTGGACCGTATCAGAATAACTAGTGAAGAGTTCACGAATTGAGTATACACAAACACACACACATACGTGAAAAAAACGGTAGATCTACACAGAAGTGGGTATATGTTTCACTAAGGAAAATTATTACATTCATTAAAAGCCAGATGATGAATCATTGTTGAGCGAAGTTTAATAGAGTTACAGTAACTTCAGCGATGAAAACCATGTATGAACCAGATTATCAAACGAAGGTTGAATATGGACAAATAAGAACCTTTTTTACGTTTACTAGACAATCTGGTTCTCCAGAGTCTGAGTGGAAGATAAATGAAGGAATAGATTAAGAGCGCAACAAAAAAAAACTGAAACAATTAAGGAAAATCGACATTACTTCAATGTGGGTTGGCTAGTATAACATCTTGATTTAAACGAGAAGGAAATGAATAATATACCCATATCCAGCTGATGGCGCTATCTGGGTTAACAACAAAGAGCCAACTAATGATGGAAATGAAAATAGGGTAGCCGACGTCGTCGATTCAACATTTATGCAAATAGGAGATATCTGCATTCGTGAATTATTTAAACACGGAAGGTGTGGAGGGCATTCATACCGCAATCCAATTCCCAAGCAAGGAAGAACTGTATGCAAATCCGACCACGTCCTATATGCAGATTTCGGTTTCGAATTCGCAGATGAAGACATTAAGAAAATGTTTTGATCTGGAACTGAAATCCATTACACCTTTCAGTGAGATATCGTGGCGGACGGCCGTGTATCAAGTGAGACCTCGCATGTGTAAATTTCAATCACGAAGGTGTCCTATTTGAGAAAATCCACTCTTAGATCACCATAAACATTTCAATGCAAACTAACTGATATTTGCTACTTTAGCGACAGTCTAATCAATTTTGGTTCATTCGAAATGTTGCCGATTGCACAATGCTGCTGCTGGTAAATGCTAGATTGGTAAATTAGACCTCACAAGTATGGTTGCAAAGTTTCCTTTGGGAAAGTTGCAAATCCATGTGAGATTGATCAGGAATTTTTCGATTGATCTTGTAAGGAATACGGCTTTGAAAATATTTAAATTATTATTAAATGGACTGAACTACTAAATATTAGGTGTATTATACAGGGTGATTCAGTAAGAATGGGAAATCGGGAACTGGAAATTTTACCCTTCAAATGGTGGCCATTGGGCCAATTATGCCTTACTCTACAGTTGATATTTTCGGAGATTGCGTCCAAAATTCAATATTGCCCACACTTGAAGTAATAACTTCTCACCCTGCAGGTGCAACATCAAATTTAGCTCAAAGTCTATGACAGCAATAATTTCTTCATAAATTTGGCATTTTTCTTTCATATCAAGATTTTGGGCCTTTTTCGAGGAACACTGATTCAACGAACACGAAGTTTTTATAATTCGCGAAAATTARAAGCGACACCAAATCAATTTGCACTAGTAGGCCAATAACAGCACCCCAAAAATATTTTTCCCTGAGCAGGAAGAGGAAGTTATATTGAGAGTTATTGAACATCAAGCCCTAAGTACTCGCCTTTTAAGTAGGCACTGCAAAAGGCGTAACTCAGCTTACAGTTTAAAGAATTCTGAAAAAAATGCAAAATTAATTTTCTTTTTTTTCTTCCTTTTTTTGTTTTCTTCCTGTGCATTTGGTGCCGCAAGACCCTCCCGCTCGTTTACGTTTTACCATTTGCTACGAGAACAACAAACCAACGATGGTACATTTTTAGAAAAAAATGTGTTTACCGATGAGCCAACGTTTACTCGTGAATTTTTAAACTGGCGAAATAATTCATCTGAACCTGATCTGATACATTTTTAGTTTGGCCTGTTGTTAAAACGAAGCGTTCGTTGAATCCATTTATTTCAGAAATGGGCCGATATATCGACAGGTAACAAGAATTATTAATTTATGTAGAAATCATTGCTCTCTTTGAGATTTTGAGAGCAGCGCGAAAATTGTAACACGCATCATATTCGATATCTAACAAAATTTAAAATTTCTAGTGCAAAATTTTCAGATTAACGACAAAAAATCTTGTATCTTCAAAAATATTACCTTTCGGATATTTTTATATTTATATTGCGACATTGGCCACCATTTGACGTGTAATATCTCCAGTACTTGGATTTTGCCAATCTTCATAAATCACCCTGTACATATTAATCAGCCGGTCGTATCAAGACAAAATAAGTGCCGAGTCCAGAAAAAATCAGCAGAGTTGTGGAAAAGTTAAAAGTCCGTAAAAATTAAAAAGTGTGCGAAGTCCACAAAAATTAATAGAACCATGAAAACACCCCTAATTATGGCATTTTCGTCAATAGTCTCTTCAACTCCATTCAGTTGGCTCAAACAAATAGCCGTGCTGAACTTTTCTGATAAAAAAATAACAGAAAATTATGACCAATTTTGAGCGACGATACCTGCTCTACCCTGGATACAACCTTCTTGTATTTGAATATTAGGTAACCACGTAGATCGAAAATTATACATTCGGTTAAAATCATGTGAAATGTTGATTTTTGACGAAAGACATCCTTACCACTCAAATCGCTTAAAGGGCCTCAAATGGTGTACCATTTCTATCGAAAGAAAGTGAGGAACTCAACGAGCTCAGAAATAAACATACTCTTCTCATCTCTCTGATCAGAAATAGCCGAAAATTATTATAAATTTTGTGCGAATCTTTAACCAACATGATCTATCCTGTTCTGGCCTGGAATCTACCATATTAAGCAGTTTGTTAGGCCCAAAACGATCCATTAAATTTAAAAAAACACAATGACAAAATGCTCATGTTCGACTCAAAATATTGTCTCTAAATCAAAATCATCATTGGCAGTATAGCGATTTTATCAATCAACACCCTGTTAAGTAAGGCATGTGAAGCTCACTCCTATTCTAAAAGAATTTACTTAAGAAATTGTAAATTATTATTTGACTCGTTGCAATGAGTTTATCAACTTCGCTTTTAGCATTGAGTAAAAGAAGAAATAACAAATCGCTTCGCTAAAGCAGTCTGTTTTCTATTCCAAAAAGCACTTACCAACATTACATGTGGGTCCCGTCCAGCCAGCCGTGCAGTCGCAATTAAAGGAACCACCAGTTTCCATGCAGGTTCCCCCATGTAGGCAGGGGGCGGGTGCACAAGGGTTGTCCACCACCTCGCAGTTCGCACCCGAAAACCCTTCGGGGCACGTGCACAAGTAATTATCGGGTGCGGTGTTCTCGCACGTACCCCCGTTCAGACAGGGTTCGTGGGTTCCACAGTAGTTTAGATCTGAAAACGAAAATAACGAGTTTACTCCTAAGCGCATAATTATGATTAAAAAGCAGTAGATTTGGATACGAAATGCTGGTACCAAACGTTTAAAGTCAATGTGAATAGTATTCTCGTTCACTTCGTTTAAGGAACCAAAATCGTTGGTGCTTCAAAATGACCGGTGATGATCATGAAAGCGTCTTGGTTATAGTCAGAAGTGGCCGACGATATTTTGGGCGATTTCTTATGCATCTTCAATTTGAAGGTATTTTTTCATCATCCAACGAATAAACACATAACGAGATATAGGTAGGCTCCAGATCTATGATCTGATTGTTCCTTTGTTATCGCTTATTTCCCGTACCGTACTTGGCATTTATAATTCTAGTATTCGTGGCAAAAAATCATGCAAATTAGTGCTAATTGTATTCAGCGAGTGTCCATGTCTCCATATAAAATGCCATAGAAGGAAGCATGTAATAATAGAACATTTCCCGTAAGAATTTCACGCAGATTGTGTAAAAAATGTTTGAAATACCTGCAATATCTGCATTGCCAATTAATTAGGTCTTACCATGGTATGGTATCCACGGAACTTTGTATATTTGAATGTTGGAGAACTACGGCCTTACAACATACATTTCATTCAATTACTTCTGATAGAGCACAGAAACTATGATTTTTTAATGGTAGAACAATTATTATAAATACTATGGATTTCCCATTTCAAATAAACTGCTCAACAGAATAAATGTTGTAAAGCCAAATTTGCCCCAGCTTGAAAACTAGATATTTCTGATACACGCGAAGATCATGTAGCCTTCAATTTTTTCTGCCAATCTCTGTTTTTGCAACAGTTCCATATAAACTTCATACAGGGTGGAAAATAAAACAACATCAACATGCTGAGCTGAAAGTTTGGCATACTACCAGTGGAAAAAAAATGTTTTGGGACTGCAACACCAAAGGCATAAAGATATGACTTATCTCAAAACAGTTTTTGAAGTTTTCGCCTATTTTCCGCCTATTTAGCAGTTCTGCTGCCTCCAAAGTCTCGAATTCTGGTGGACTTTCCATTAAAGTGAACTATACTTTCAACCAATTCGCTAATTTAAATTTTTGTTTTAAGTCGACTATAAAGTTTTCGTTTCAATATGAGTTCGAGATTTTGAAAATCAGTCAATATGAAAAATGTTATCACTGTAAAACCACCACGTAAAACTGCTAAAAGGTTTTCAGATCTTGAAACGGGTGGCTGTTGCGCTAGCAAGAATTTTTGTTCTGCGACGGTCTAAAGCTTCGAGAAATTCACGATATTATTATTTAATACTCCTAGTAAAGTAAAGTCTAGCTCAAGCACTCCACACTGTAGTTCTCAGCGAATTCATGCATTTTCATTGCTGTTGTATAATTACGGCAATTAATAATAAAATTAAAGTTCATGGCCATGTTATCTCTGCTAGAATACCGGTAGATGGTTGGCTGATCAATAGGGCGGATCGGGAAAAAATCGTCGGGCACTTTATTTTGCAACTGCACAAATGGGCGGCGAATTTCACGAAAACATCTAGCGAATAACCGTTATCGTGTATTCTTGATTAAACTTTATATAGCGAAAATGTTGTTTTCAAATTGAGGTCGCCTTTAACTCCGTGTAAGTGTAAAGTGTATAATTTCTGGATGGATTCATTTGGCGAAATGCTGCGAATCGACGCTTTACGCCGACCTTTCAAGCCGTAAAAACCATTTTAGTTCTTCAAACTTTTGAAGACATCTGAATCGCAATTTGGTGAAAGGTATCAGTTCCTTTCAAGCTTTGGAGTAACCCAATGGTCCAGGTCTAAAAACAGTAACAAAATATAATAATAAAATAAAAAACAAWAAGAAATAGACTTGAAAACCACTGCAAATAAATGAGCTTAACCAACAACGATCCATTTTTCGACCACATAAAATCGATGATACGAAATGGTCCCCGAAGACAAATCGGCTTAGTGTCAACCCTAGTTTATTCAAGACCATCTGACACTTCAGTGAGTTTATTTTTTTTAGTACAAGGGCGCCGTCATAATATAATAAATCCATTGTAAAAGGACGTTTGCTACCAATTCACGCGTCATTGCCTCTCGGGGTCCACTTTGAGCGATCGTAATTCATGCAAATCTGTCGAGAAAAAAGACGAAGTTGGAAAATAAATCCGACAATCATGCGTTAAAAATATAACTGAAAAAAGTTATCGATCGAGCCTGTGGAATTTTGTTTGTAGATACATCGTGACTCAAAAGAACTGAACAACGTATTTTTGACTAGACTTAATAAGGGACAAAATCAATTTACAAAATCCATATTTGGAAATTTTGGCTGTCTAAAACTTTGGTTGTTGAGTAAAATTTCAGTAGAAACAAAAAAAAGTTTATAAAAGACATACAATAAGGAAATTTTAAAAATAATTCCCCAAGTGCAAGCCAATGAAACGTATCAACTATTCCCACAGTTGGTTAAAAAAATAACCCGACTTCCTCGAAGAACAGACTGTCCCACAAAAACAAGCTTGTTAATTTAAAATTATGATGCGCCAAAATCTAAATTAAAAGATCAAGAGCCGAATTCCTACCTAATAAGGGATAATCGGCGCAAATAAGGGGATTTGACTTCTTCACACAACGAAAATAATTATAATAATACCCCCGCTTTTGACACCGTGCCCACCAACTTAATCGTCTCAATTAGCAAGCATGACTTTCCCTTTAAAACATTTCGATAAATCATCGAGAGTTGCCCTTAAAACTACCTGTTTTTTTCTCTCTAGAGGTAAACGAACTTTGGTAATTCGCCCTTCACTACGAAATTTATGATGTTTGGTTGAGGTCTCTTGTGGGCTCTTGAATGCTCTGTTAATTTTGTTTGTACACAACAGTGGATGGAACGTAAATATTACAAACCAACGACTCAAAAGAACACATTAGTTGGACAAGAATGTAGTTTTCACTGACTATATAAAATGCCGAGATTAGGAAAATTATTTTTTCAATTTCAACAATGTCAAATTCAATATATTACAAAATTTATCGGCCTTATTTTACAGGCCAATTTCATTTCGATTTAAATAATTGAATGATAAAATGAAAAACATTTTCGACATTGTTTTGGATCAGAAGAAAATATGAAGAATAAATTACTGTCAAGTTGCCTTAAATCTTCTTCAACATTTTCCCAAATTAACTAATTTGCTTTTCAACAAATGGTTGGCTTTTCCGTACTGCCTCCTCACGTTTTCCTTGCATTTGGTACATACATCATAATTGTGACTATAATCGTTTATTTAATATACCAGGAGTATTGTTAAATATGTACATTTAAATTACTATTGTCTGCATTTTAGCATTTCTTAGTACTAAAAATGACCAGTTTAGGGTTCCACTCACGACAAGGTGGTCAAGTCTTAAACCTTTTGAATTTTATACAAAATTGAATTGAATGAATTAACAAAATTTCAGGTGCCCGCTCAGAATGCACCCCGTTTTACGCGAATATGCCTGGTCACGATCTATATATTATATATTCGAAACAAGAATAAGCATTAAATTAGTTGTTAAATTAGGTTGGTGGTCACCCGTTTCGGCCTTAACCATGCAGCCCGCACAACATACAAAAACCTAAAGATGAAATTGGTGTGAAAATGACTGGATTTTATTGAGCCATAAAAACACGAATACTTGATGCTTTATATTTATCAGAGTAAAAGTACTGCGGCACTGATCGATTAGATAAGCCATTGAAAGAAGTTGAAATCTGATGCGTTCAGAAGACGGCGAAGTAAATTGAACTGAAGCCAGTGCTTCAAATTAATAAACTGTGTGTATATCGAAAAAATATACTTTTAAATCGTCGCTTTCGTCTCGTCTAAAAGTTTACCTGAATAAAAAACGAACCCTTTCCCAAAGATACTTTAAATGTTTCTCCTTGAAACTTCGTTATTAAGTCATTCATATTTGAACATAACATTATACATCAAACGCCTCGGACTTCCTTCTCCATATAATCGATAATTAATTCATTTCAGTCAGTATGAAAAAAAACAGACACAAACGAAATTTATTTACCGTAAATAACGTCTTTATTATCCAGACAAAAGGAGCTTAAACTGAAAATAGTGTATTAGCAACAGATGCACTCATTCAGCTTACACTTGCTGTGTCGAGGACCCCACTTGGGCAACTGGCTAAAAAAATATAAAAAATACCTTTGGGGTTTCGATAGAGACCCTAAGCCATTCATCAAATTAATGGCAAAAAAGTGGAGTAAGCCACAAGGGTAAATGCGGCCAGTTTTTATGGGAACTTTGCGGTTGGGCCTATAACATATGCAGGCCGGAAACGTGCTCTTGTTTTTGTGAGAAATTAAGCCACTGGGTTTGCTTAAACATTTAAATGTGTACATACTTTCGCCATTCTATAGCTGTGAAAATGATACTTTACGAATAGGTTCTTGAAAGACGAAAACTGAATATTTTGATACTTTTAAATCGACTTAAAGTCCTTGATTTTTCAACTAATAAAACAAAAGTTTGCATAATTTTCAGAAATTCTCATATTTCTTGTTCATAGACTGATATTCAGTTTTGCTGTTCAACTTCAAAAATGTCTATTTTGGGTAAGAGAACGCTGAAATTTCATTAAAAACAAAATAAGAAACTGATGATCTTTTGATTATAATCAAAGGATAAATATAAATTATTAACACTAATCAAGTTCAATATTAAGCAGCGTCTAACGTGCAAACTTATGTAGAAAATAAACAAAATCGTTGCAAACGAACAATATTATTAAGTAAAAATTCAATTTTCCAAAGTACATTATCTCCACCTCAAAATAGTTGCGATAGTAGGCCTGAAAATGACACCCCATTTTTAAGGGCATGGATAACACATGTAGATACGCGTGCCACGCGAAGTGATTTCCAACAATACCACACTTGATCATGTGACTGATATCCCCTTATATTAAACATACAAAAGAGAAAATGCCTTAGATATTTATGATACAGCACTGATACGCTCCATATTAGAGTGATTAACTAACCCTTTAACGCCGTTTTTTTGGTCGTGTACTCAAACATGTGTCTTCAAATAAATTATAAGGGCGTTTTTATTGTGTCAACTCTGTATAGGGGTTCGTTATAGTTTGAATCAGGTGATTATTTTAATTTGACGATGAACGACGCAAAGATGACCACTAAAGGCAAATACATGTTATGGCTTGAAAAAGAAATCGACCACAAACGTTTCAAAAAGTGCACACTTTGACGAAATGAATCAGAAGAAGTGTATCAACAGCCTTAAGAATCTCTTTTCGTTGACGTTTTACCGAAGATGTAGGTTTAATAAGAACGGATTTACCATTTTATACAAATCTRATGATTRAAAATRYGKTTTTTTGAACTGACTATAATCCCGAAAGAGAGMAATTGTTGTCTTTGATAAAGCTCAATAACGTAAAGAAGATTTGGCAATAGCGCAAATTATTCAAWACTAAGAAAGGCGTTAAAGGATAAAGATTGATRAGAACTGCTTAAAATATACTTCTSAATGAGTGTTACAACATTCGTACTTTTATTTTCTGGATACGCGTTTTTACGAAGACTTTTAAAACAATTCATARCATAACGGGTTCATATTTAAATAATTTCAAAAGAAACTGCACGCAGGAGCTAATTACCACAAAGATCAAGCATTTAACATCCATATGCCATTTCCTTTTCCGGATTTTCCATTATTCGCATCACGCTCTCGCCTTACATAAATATCAGTGAACATTCCATGAAATCTCGCAGCGGAAAAGCCAAAGTCTGTGCATATTATTAAGATTTCCCATGGCCGCTTGTGTTATTTGAAATCAACGGAAAAGTCAAGAATGCACCCAAACACCTGGAAACGACTTATTGCCTTGCACTGATATTTAAGTTGGCTTTAATCTACAGCTCTCTATTTATCGGTTTCCGCTCTATATTTGCTTCTGAAACAGGCAGAACAGCAGGTGAAAACAGTGGCGCAGGTACCGATATATGATATAAAATATCTAGTTTTTAAACAACAACTCGCTCAATTGTATGTTCTGTTAAGAGCCAATATGCACTCAAAAAAAACATTTCCAACTCAGTCTCGAAAAATCGATAGCATAGAATAGATTCACTTTGCCACTGATTTAGAACTGTTCAAAAGACAATCAGACATTTAAACCCATAATGAATGCTGCAGTTGGATAAGGAACATGAAATAAAAACTAAAAAATAATGAAAAACCCTGGCCGAATGGAGTGAGTGACACTGGCTTTACCGTGCACCTATGGAGATGCATATTCATGTGTATCGCTCATGAAAGAACCTTAGACCAATTTAAACAGACTCGTTCGAAGCAGTTCGAGAGGCGAATAAAAAAAAACGAACCCTCTTGAACGAGGAAGCACTGAAAATGGCTTAAAGCAGAAAGAGAGAAAACAGAACGGCGATGTTGAAGGGGATTAAAACACCGTGGGATAAAGGCACAGGTGCCTTCTTTCTGGTAGAACTTCTAAATTAATTTCGTTTCGTCAAGTTAGCTGCTTGTTTTTCGTCTTTTCACAGTTTCTACTAAACTCACCTTGATCGCAAAGAATTCCGCCCCAGTTAGTGTCGCAAATACACTGCCACGATGATCCGTTGCAGTAGCCGTGTTTACACCCCGGATATGGTTCGCATTGATCGCAAAAGTCTCCTCGCCATCCAGGTCGGCAACTGAAACAAAATATTACATGTTAGAGATCAACTAAAATAATATTAAAAAATATACTAAATCAACTAAACGACTTTTGAAGGTAAATTCTGACCTCGAACACTATAAACTATAACTGAGTTCACCCATTTTGTGATTCATTAAGAATAGGAAATCCGTAAACTGGAGGTTTTTGCCATTATTATGAATATGTGTGGATTCGAAATTTGAAATTTTGAGGCGAATAAGGTGCGTGTCGCAATTTCCGCTTTGCTCATAAAGGACGCTACCAGTGACCAATATGGCGCACATTCAAAAATTTAGCTCAAAATTTCTACACACATTTAATATCCTAATTTTATACCGATATTTCGGTCCGTTTTCGAAAAAAATGGATTCAACGAACAAGAAATGAGAGAAAGAAATGAAAATGAAGAAATCAGAGACATGATATATGCATAAAGGTTCAGAATACTACCGTTAATTAATTGGCCAACTCAGAAACTTTATCTGATTAAACTTGTTGTTTATCGTTTAACACGAAGAAGAACAAATATAAGTCCAGCTTACCCTGGAGGTAGTGAGGGGTCCAGGGTAAGCTTTCGAGTGAAACACATCTGAAGATGCAAGCCAGCAAAGTTTTCATGTCTATCTAAAAGCGCAAAAAACTCACCGTACTGACGATTGCCTTTCTTATTAAGTGACATTTTTCATCCACATTTCGTTGCTTTTAGTATAATCCTATGTGTCTGTTAAAAACGCGTTCTGGTGGAAGTTCAGGTAGAGACTTCGTAAAATATGTACCTCTAAAGCAGAAGGTTGATAATGTTTCCAAATTACTTAAAGATTTGGAAAATCCTGAATGTTTCCCACACCACTAAAAATACGCATTTCTATTTGGACTTCAACTGACTTCTTATTAGGTTCTATTGGTTAAGTTCGAAGAATCGGCAAGTCATCCGTATCGCGATTTGAATCACGGTTCGAACATGTTTCGAGATCAGTTTGATGGTTTCGCATAAAAGACTATTGCTAGTTTTGATTAGCTTAGCTAAGGCGAATGATGCCACAAGCGCTTGTCCTATCGGGTGGTCTCATCGCTGTGATGTTTTTGTTTCGTATCATGCACGTAAGATATGCGATATATATTGCCGTTTACAAAACTTGTCTGCATCTAGAGTTTTTTCGAAATGTTCGGATTCTTGTATGAAATGGAACGTGCAATTACTGACTTTTGTGCTTTTGAGCCCGTATATCAATCGGACTGTCTTCTTGCCATACAACAGTAAAATTGGCTAAACGGACGGTGAATAGAATGGTATTTATTGTGTTATCTCTCATATAATAACGCCTAGTTTTCGGAATTTTCCCTCTAATTGACTCTTTCTAATTGAGAGATAGGATAAGATAATTAGAATAAAATGAACAAATGAAAAGAATGGAAAAGTTGTTCCAGACAGACAGTCCAGAGTCTTTTCTCTAAAAGGTATGCTAAAGACTGTTTTAAGCTTCCAAATATAATTCGGTCGCTTTCAAATAATTGGCTCTTAAGACGTAAAAGTAAGCGAAACAAGTCGGTATTAAATTAACGCATTTCATCTGAATTAAATTGATGATTTCGGAGTCATTTTGCTGAAAAATACCTATGAAAGTAGCCGAATTTTCAAAACAGAATGACGTCCAAATTGCGTTGTTTATTGATACATTCAATCATTGCTTCGCTGTTTGAAGACTTTGAATTTTTAAGAACTGTCAAATATTCAAAAGAAAATTATACGGAATTCAGCCGATAAGTTTACGCAAAATCTGATAGCTGTATTCACAAATAGACACTAAAGACATAGAAAAAAGTGACACCAAACACGAAAACCCCGTTTTCGAACAATATCAAAGCCCGACCGAAACGAGTAGAACATTAGAAAATACACCGAAAACACATGTAAAAAATGTTGAACCAGCGGTCAGGCAAACTTCTGTTCGAAAAATCACAGCCTAATTAATTAGAGCCGCCATATTAGGCCATGTCTAGCTTTCTGACTTTCATCTTAATTGAAAAAATAATCAATCAAACGCAATTAGTGCCGCAAATCGTGCAGAAGACACTTGCCCGTTACTCGCAACCATATAGATGGTGAGCGATGTGCCTAGCCAATTTCCATGGACAAACGGAATCGCTGAGAAAATAAATCGAGAAGTCATTTGTTAATTGATTCGACTTGATCGATCACGAAATATTTGGAAAATTAAACTTTCAATCATTTATACGTAATAGCACGATTTCATCGGCGTTTATTACATTTGATGTATGGATAATTCTCTTCATCCTCTTTAGACCTTTATGAAAATAATTTTAATTTAGTTTTTTACTGCTTAAAAAAAATTTGAACAGTCAAAGAAAAGTCACCTGAACAATCTTAAAGGGGTATTCCCACCATTGAATTAGTAATTTTCTTTAAAACAGTTAAAATGCATATAAATTCACTGAAACTTCCGTTGCTTTCGTTTATTGAACAGTGGCTCTTTAAATATGAAAAAACGAAGAATATGTACTTAGCACCGAAGTCAATTAATATGTAAAACTCAATTTGCACACATGCTTGAATAAAACATTCGATAACGATCTAACGAGATTACATCTTTTATACGTAAATGAAAAAGTCCCAGTTGTTGAGTTAACGAGGCTGTTTATGGTAAAACAATCACATGCAGAAATCTCTGCATACTTAACAGTCGTTTAATTAGCCTTGCCTTTGAAGAATGATCGGTGTAAGAGCCGATTGAAACTGTTTCGTTTATTTTAGCGATAAAGATGAGTAAGTAGTTGTCGCTCCATTTTTGTCGTCGACACTTTTTCATACAAGTACACATTTTAATTAAACATTTTGGTTCATCAGATAGTCTTTACTGTATAGTTCTACGGCATTGACCATCAGGCATGTGAAAATGTGTTTACCTTTATTGCTCCCGGTTACAAAACGAGTCATTGATACGCAAGAAATGAGATTAAATTTGAACGTTCAACCAATGTTCGCACCTGAATTTCAACTTTACGAGCACGAATAAATTAAGCGAGAACCATTAAACACTTTTATTATCCTAGCAGGGCATAAACGCGTAACTTCTATAATATGTTAATTAATTAACTATATTGTTAGCTACCCGAGATATTTCATTAAACTCCAGGCGACGAGAAGTAGCAAAAAAGCGAAAAAAAAATACACCGAAAGAATCGTTGAATTAGTCATGGTTTATGGCCCATTTGAATATTTACGATCAGCGAATTTAAATAAAATTGATGCAATTATAGTGTAATGACTGCAATTACGGAACAGACGGATTTTATGGCCTTATTTTGTTTTACGGGTAATTCAGATATCAAGCTTAAGTTATCTGTTGAGAATAGGTGCAAATTTGTTAATGTCAAGGCGTGTTTCAAGCACAAAAACAGGCACAACTTTCACAATTTATTTAACGTCAAGATTTACCTGCTACTTGAATTTTAATTTATCTTTCTTCTTACAGACTTTAAGTATACTTTAAGATATAAATGTTAAAATCTGCTTATTCGCACAATAATTATCAAATTTTCAACATCAGTAAAATTAATTGGGGATAAAGTAACATAAAACTAAAGCAAAGGAAATGAAAATCCTCATTAGCATTAATGGTCAAAGCCCTATGACTTGAAAATGGTAATTTACTTTTTGTGCCATCGATATATGAGCCTAGATTCAATAAATCGATTTTAAAAAGGATACAAGAAAACATTTCCGCCAAAGATTAAAGGCAGTATCTCACGTAGTCCGGCAAAGGTAAACGCCTAATCTAAATCTGATTTAGCTCTTCAATAATTGACGTGTCTTCTTTATGTTGGATACAATTTATCTGACAATTGATATAATTTAATCTTGTAAGTTGCGGAATACCGTTTAGCTCTTGGATAATGCTGCAGAAGAAGCACTTGGCTTCTAGTGATGAGATTGCGGTCAACATATAGCTGTTGTTCGCGGTTAAATTATCTGGCAACTTATCTAATTTGAGTGGAAGCTTTGAATGCAACAAGCTAATTTTCAAAGGAGCAGGATTTTTCCAATTCAAACTTATTTCATTATTAAATACTTAACGGATGCGATGTATCACATTGCATGAGGAAACGCCATCACGTGTCTAATGCCCTTAAAAGCTCACTCACACAATTAAGATTGCCTTATGCTTAAAACCCCTCTAAAACCACACCATAAGCACTTCCTCCTACCATAAACTGGAAGCAATAACCCTAACGAATTTTAATAATTATCCAAATGCGAGAAAATAACTTCATTAAAACCTCGGGGCTCGAAACGACTCCTCATTATGTTCAGATCGAAAAATATGCCAAACTCCTGATGTGATAAAGGATAAGCAAATTAGGCAATTACGGAGCCTGATATTGTTAAAAAGGGTAATTGATTAACATACGAATATAGGAAGCCGTCTGGTTTGGGCAAAGAAAGCTCACGTATGAAATACATATGCATGTCTAATAAGAGTCTAAGTTGAGCCGTTTTGTAATGTTTCAAAGACATATCGCTAAGAGATGAAGTTTAGATAACAAGTGGTCGTTTAGATAACCAGTTGGTGTCTGATCTAGTTTAGATATGCGAGGATGTTTCCGTAATGGTCGGTTAGTGGAAGAAACGTGAAAATACGATTAATTGGGACGAAAGATTATTTTATTAGTTACTTTGTTTTGCGATACTTACTTGCATTCGCCGGGATAATCACATTTTCCATGCAGTGGATGACATCCGGCCTTACATACAGCTGAAAAATAAAAACATCAATTACTTTTCATTTAGGTCCAATTTTTTTTATTCTTGCAATATTTTAATCAGACTATTATCAGCATTAATTGATACAAATTTGTCTCTGATACTAGTAACTGAGCGTGTAGGCTAAAATTTGATTTTGATTGAAGATTTAATTGAAGATATTTCTATTTCTGCGAAAGTTAAACCGATCAGATACGATTCAATTGTGCTTTTGAATTTGAGCAGTGTAGTCGTTCTTCATCAAACTAACGCAAATTGTATATTAAAAGAGTGTAACAGTGTTTAGGTGTATTCTTTTATAAAAAGCCATCTTAGCTCAATAATTTATTACAGTTTCTCCTACATTATGCCGCAAGATAATTAAGCAAATGTTTCATTCTCAAGTGTCACAGTTAAATGTAAAATGCAAATAATTATCTAATTACTTAAAGGCTGTCCCATTAAGCGCTAAGCGCGTGTTGCGTAACTACTGCTTTAAAATTATTTTTATTCATTCAGGCATTTTAAGTCTGCACATCTCAAATTTTAATTTATACAGCTGAGTCCATTTTTCAGTTCCAAGTCAACGTAAAAAGGTAGACTAGCTTTGCTTGAGTAATGTTACAATGCACTAATTTCAGAAATTTGCCAAAAAATCACTCAAAAATGTTATTAGGATGCAGTTTGCAGCAGATGTAGAATGTAGCTTGCCCTTTTTAAATAATTTATAAGGCTGTTTACTAGCTTTAAAGATATTTCAGTGATTTTTTTAATTTTTTTCATTGATTGATTGATTCATTTCATTTTTCATTCATTGGCTTGCAAATTTTAAAAGTTTGAAGGTCTGAACTTAACATTATAAAAAATTGGCAAATATTTTACAATAATGTAAGATTGCTTCAATATTAGAGCGAGGTTTGGTCTTCTAAACAATCTAACGCGTGATTTTCCAATCACAAAAGTTTTGTAGCAACTCAACTTCGTTTAGAGACCCGCGGATTTTAAGTAGCTGCTAATCTGTGCTCATTTCGAAAATTTTCCAAAAATCAATCCAAAATTCCGCAGAGATCAAACGTACAGTAAATATAGAATGTGTTTTGCTCTAACTGTGTAGGAGGAAGTTTTGAAACTCGTCTTCGTAATGGTGTTCGAGTAATTGATTTTTTAAGCTTGCAAATTGAAAGACATTTTTAAGTTAGAACTTTACAAAAATTATCAAAAGGAGTACAATAATGTTACTGGCATGCAATTTGCGTTAACATTAGAGCGACGTTTGGACTATCTGACAATCTTCTAGGCGACTTTTAAATCAAAAAACTTTAAAAACTTAAAAACTTCATAGTAAATCGATCTTGTTCAGAGACGTGCTGATTTTAAGTACCTGCAGAGCAGCAAGAAAATTAGCTACAAATCACCAAAAAATACCGCCGACATGAAACGTAGAGTAGATATATAATGCAATTTATTCTTACTAACCGTGTATGAGGTAGTCGTCTAACTTTAAAGGTGTTTAAGTAAGTGATTTTTTTCTGATTCTCAATTATTAAAAAATTGCCAAAATTCGCACAATAATGCCACTCGAATGAAATCTGTACTACTATTAGAGCGAGGTCTGGTCTATTTAACAATCTAACGGGTGTCATTCTAATCGCGAAAGTTTTGAAGTAACTCAACTTTGTTTACAGACCCGCTGATTTCAAAGACCTGCGGATTGGGAATGTTAAAGTTTGCTAATTGAAAAAATGCCCTAAAAGTGAACCGAAAATAGCACCATGATGAAACTTACCGCAGATATAGAATGCATTTTACTCTATCTAACGGTGTATGGCTAACTGATTTTTCTTCACAGACCGACAGATCTTAAAACAATTTAGCCCAAATATGCAATTTAGAGTGAAGCTGTGTGCATCGAACAGAGTGAAAAAACAGCTTCTTTTTAAGTGTCTTGTCCATAATCAATGTTAAAGTGGGGTCATATGAAAATGTTGTCGAAAATGACTGAAGAATCTTATTGAGAGAAAAAATAGAGATTGGAAATAGTAAAAGCATTTAAGGTGCAACCACTGATGCACAAAATTCTTAAATTGATATGTTAAGTTATTGAATATAGTTTGCGTCTAGCTAAAGCGCGCATGTGACAATTTTGCAACTGCTTCGGCTTTTGAATAATATGTTTTTCTGTTTAAAAGTCGGTACATCTTGAACAAATTCGGAACTATTTTTTTTGAAAAATGTCCGAAAAATGCCCAAAAACGTCGCACGGATGAAATTAGTCGCAAATTTAGAACCAAGCTAAACCTTTCTAAACTAACAGCTTTCAATGAGAATCTAACTTAACTTTGTTCAAAGATGCAAAAATGTGCAAGTATAAAAAGTTCAAAACTTTGCCAACAACCAGTTAAAATTGCGCGATTACGCCTTTTTCAAACCTCCTCAAATGCTTCAGATACAACATTTGCAAATCAATTAAATCAGGAGACTGGGAATATTTAATACAATTATACAATATACGCCATAAACTAGCGACTTTTCAACTTACCTATATCACAAATATTTCCCCTCCATCCCTCTATACACTCCTTATCACCATTAGCATCACAGATAAAATGGCCGAACTTATCGTCTCGCGGCCTACAGAATTTTGTACAAGTAGAATTGTAGTAATGAGTATCACATTTGACGCGCACCCTGTATGTAAGGTGAGCACGGGGACCCCGATGGTTCAATGTGTGCCATTCGGGACTGGGGTCAATTATCCCTGAGTAGGTTGCTTCTTCAATTATATCATTACTTGCTGAAAGAATTAAAACAAAAATTAACAATAAACATTTAAAAAAAATTAATAAAGATAAACTTTATTAAATATCATTCAAACGCATATTCATACAGACAATCATTCATCAAAGCAAAGCCGTAATTAAACTGGAAACTGATCTCTTGCTTGATTATGGTTAATGATGTTAAGATTGAAGATGCATATAGAGTGTTGGAATTCCACGTAAATACCCCATTTAGCACAACAATAGAAACTGCAAATAAAATCCAACAAACAAACGGAATTCGCAAAATGTGTAGTGAATTTAAATAAAATTATCCTCGTACGTCGTACTAAACGGTTTTGCAGTGTGTACACAGAGCGGCTTTTGTGTTAGATTTGCAAATCACGAATCGTGGGCGTCTGTACATTCATTAATAAGTACTCGAAGAGTATTTTATCCCATTTTAAAATCGTTTACAAGAGTGCTTATATTGACTCAATAGCCCGGAGGCGATTCAACCTACACACCTTGCACTTTCTTAAGCATAATTTAAGTGCTGCTTGAACACTTTCATGATGCATCCTATTAACCTATTCAAGTGGTAAATACAGTAGTTTTGTTTTTATTTAAACAATTTGTTTGCTTGTGTTTGAATAATTATTCGCCTTTTTATCGACGCGTGTGAATTATGGTTTCTTCGGTGTCAAATTACCTGTAATCATTACGAATTCAACGAGAGGGAATGATTAATGACTTTTAGCAGCCCTGACAATTCATTCTATTAATGCTTGTTTGCATACATTCTAATGTCTATTTATTCATTTAAATGCACTTGATTTTTTTGCAACTACAAGTCTGGAGTGTTGGACTTGAGAATGGTGTGATACTCCCCCCAAGTTTTTTCCTGTAACAAAAGTGATTGATTTTTTTCTATTACATTGATATTAGAGTATTAATTTTAGCAATTAACGCTGGTTTTGTTCCTTCTTTAAGTGATAAATCAAACATACATGCGATGGACGTTGATGCAAACGTTTTTTTTATCGAGCTTCAGTTGTCCAGCAATCAATAGTTGTTTGATTAATTAATTAAAAATCCTATTTTTATTCAATCGTATTCAAACTTCACTAAACCTTCTAAAGAAAAGAATGGAAGCAGATGATCAGTTTCCCTCACTTATTTCTATTGCAGCCTACGGCTAAAATGCGTTATTTAAATAACTAATCGCAATTTCCTTACCAGGTATAGAAAAATTGTTGTGATCCAAAGCCTGCAGGATGAGCGTAAACGATCTCTGAAAAAGAAAAACTGGGATTAGATAATGCCATTTACACCCAAATTACGAAAAGATTGAAAAGGCGACCGAAAAAATTCAACCGATCAATCTCCTTATTTAATTCGATTATGTTACGCCAGAATGGACCGAGATAAACCAAGGCAGTGGCGCACATCAATTAATTCCGGCAAACTTGCAGCATAAAGTTGGCACTTTTCAAAATCTGCATAAAATACCAGAAAATATTATACATTCCCCACATCTCTCTTATCGGCGCTAGACAAGCTTATCAATATCCAGTAATTAGCGTTTCGTGTATATACAAACCACTGAAGATTGGATCATTAGTATCACCTGTAGGCTCCATGGGAGGTACGATGAATATATTCAAATCAACTATTAACTCAACAAGTGTTTTCATAATAGTATATGTGAAATTCTTCAAATATCTCGTATAATACCGTTGTAGTTTTGGACGTAAATATTCCATGTAGGTGGTTCTCGGAGATAATTGACAAGAATTTAAACAGTGATTGATAGGGAAGATCACTTGGTGTTGACTTTAGTAATTATGACTATCCAGAATATTAGCAACGCTTTTTTTGGTTTCTTTTTTCACGCAGTTTGACCTTATCCATACGGGAAGATTCACAAGACATATCTTTGAAAATTGGCCCTTTCTACGCTACTGCCTCTCCAACAATTATTATTAAAAGCACTTTATCGACCCACTGGAATTCCGATAAGAAGATATTTCATAATCTTTTTTCTTCCTACTCAGTGTCATCACAGGAAATGTCTTTACTAGCTCACGCTTCGATTGTCTTTTATCTGTGCATAATATTCGAAAGTATGTTACTGTCACTTACATTATTCTAGCCGGATTGTTTACTTTAGGTGTGTTCGACCGGATGATAGTGTAAAAGATTTTTTTGCGGAATTATCTCTAGATTAATGAGGTTCTTGAACAATGTAACTTCGATAAATGTCCAGGAAGGCTATCTTGACTTTCTTGGAAAGTTAACGGAGTTACCGAAAAAAATATCTTTCACTTTTTCAGTTCCTCTTTGAAAGTCAATCTACGGGGTTTGGTTGGTTTCAGCTTGTTTGGGTCTGTTTGGGTTAGTTTGCATTATTCTTCAGCTAAAGGATTTAGTAGAAACAGTTGGACAAGAGTAGTTGAATAAAATTGTAAGCAGTGCTGATTTCTAAATGTTTAGAGCGATTTATTTTACATTAATTGAGCGTCCGTTTCTCAATTTATAATTAAACTGAAAAATGCGTCATTAGCGCCGAAAACACGGAACAGGGAAGTAAACTAAACTGATTGGTTTCAATGATTTGTTTACAAAATTAACAATCCGCATACAATTACGCAAACATTTATATTTTTTCGTGAAAATATTTTCCTAATATAGATTAGTGATTTCTAATTCCTGAATCCTACTGAGTGTGGTAAATTATAACAAAATGCAAAATAACTATAAAATTAAAAGAAGCAATGCGACAAAACGAAAGATTGCTATCGTGAAACAAATCCAATAATCCAATCGAAAATTGATGAATTGAAAAAGCCAACGGAACTGGTCAACCGTATCAGTTCTGCTTTTTCGAAAGAGGATTATGTGGAGGTTGTTAAACAGATTAGGGCTTAATAGTCACAATACGTGTGTAGGAAGCCTTAGCAAAGGTTCTGTTCGACAAAACCGGAATTGCATCACGAAATGAAAAGTTAGTCTTAATTTTGTTCGATTCTATTGGATTAAGCAGACTTAGGAATTTGCGTCAGCTCAATATGGACACGAGTTGCAACTGGTAGTGAAATAAATGACAAAAATGAGGACACTGCTTTAATTATCTAACATATTAAGTTAATATCGTAATGAGCGTATAAAATAACAAATAGGAAATAAACAGCCGCCTTTACAGCTTTATTGGCCGTTCTGATCTAACATTGGCATTCCTGATACATTAAGTGCTAGTTAAACTTTCATATCCATTAAATGATCGATGAACGGTTTCGAGATGACTTGGATGTTCTGTTTTCGTATTAATACGGCGTGGCAAAGCCGAATGAAATGATTTTTGACAAGATCCGCCCTACCGCTTTTAGTTTTTTCTTTGGCCTCGGTTATTCAAGAACATCCTACTTTTTTTGTCTATTTGTTCACAAGAACCAGAGCAGCTGGCCGACTTTTTGCTTAGCATAATAATATTAGCATGATGTATCGACTTTTCGCAAATTACCCAAGGGTGTTGGCTTATTGCTAATAGTTGTTGTTCATTAATCGACAATTAAAACAATTTTTTTATTATTACAGTATGATTGGTAACCGAACCTATTGCACGTGATGGCTGGTTCATGATACTTTTTAAGTCAGTCAGAAGTTTACTTTTTAAGTCCAGAGAAATGAACACGCTGCTGAAAGATGAAACTGACGCGTCGCTTTTCCTAACATGTTCATCCTTTATCTTGGAAGTAGCTGAATCACTAAGCTGCGTGCTTCTTCTGTAGCTCGAACGACAATTGTTTCTAATTAATATTCTTTATTAAAAAATTAATCTTCCATTTTCAATCAATGACCCACTTTCAAATAGCCACCAATTCTGTCTTCGTTTTTCGGTGAAGATTTGGTACAATTCTCATTAGCTGAACAAAATCTCACTCGGGCATGCAAATTAGCCAAATTTTGATAATTTTGTCTAGTCTACGTATTTCTGACGCTCTGAATCTTCGTTTTTGGTGCCATGCAGATGAGTAAGAAATTATTGTTTTTTTCATTGGAGGACTGGTTTAGGTTCGGAAGAAGCAGAGAGAATATTATGTACACAGGTGCATCGCTCTTGTATGTAAACATTCACGGCTTTCCCCATACATAGTTGCTTGGTATGCGAAGGTCTAATGTTTCGCGTGGTCAATACCCAATGTCCAGTATAATTTACGAATTATCAATCGATAAACCGATATTTATGTTTTGGTTTGCTGTGCTACTCAGTTTATCTCGCATTGACACCCAGATATATGTGCTGGTGTACATACTTTATAACCACCGGTATATACCTGCATTTAGGGTGGAAAAATTGAGCCTTTGCTGTCTTGCCAATAAGCGAATTTCCTTACAACTCTTTGCTCCTGACTAATAACGAATTTTCTCCAGTGTGTCCAAAAGCAATCCCACTTCAGACAACCACTTAAATTTGGATCACACTTCAAAAGCATGCAACAACTCACTTTCAGAGTTTCAAGAGAATTGAGCACTCGCACAATGAAAACGAATTAACTCCTTAATAACCACTAAATAACTTTTAACGCAGTACAAGCCGGCACGAACTCAATCAAATAAACAGTTATCATTATTAAACTATAATTAAATGACCGATTTTATGGTCGAGGACATTCACAAGTTTATGGTATTGGGCACCGGCCATAGGTATATATATGTGTGGTCGGGCTTTCTCATAATTTTTTAGATTTAATTATCCATGGGAAAAACTTGCCGGCATCAATGTTAATGTGTGTTAACTGACAATGTTCACTTCCAGTCGATTAAAACTATATTGATATTATCTAATGTGTTAAAAACGCGTTTAATACATTAATGACTAGTTATACCAAACGGAACTGCTGCTGCTGCTAATGGAGTTGTTAAGAGAAGTAATATGGAGATTATGATGGGGCCAATTGTGTGATGTAAAGATTTAAGCTAGGATCTGATGTTGTTGGAAATATCATTATGAGATCTAGATCGATGGGACAAAACGCAAATTTTCAATTGGTTGCATTTATTTGCGCTGTAAGGTTTAAAGTAGTCATGCTTCAAACTCCATTTTTGGCCAGAAATTGCATGAAAAAAAACGATGCCGAAGAAAAAGTGCAAACTAAGTATGTGAATAGTAGGATCATTCGGCTTTCCAGTGAGTGAATCAACTGCTAATTTAGTTCCAAATCATTTCTCGCCTCTTTGCATACCTAGCTGTATGATCTGATGAAAAGCTAGTTATGAAAGGCTATTGGAAACAGGTACCCGAACCAGGCGATCTTTATCGGTCGATTCTGGTCCACAAGCGAGGGTTATCGACAATCAACAGTCTGCCTTCCACAAAAGGTGCTGCCACCCCGAAATGACAGTGATGAACGGCAACACCAGCGACCACCAATAAAAATGTCGATTCTTCAACTCGATTGTCCATCTTCTGGACTTGTCTTTGGTTGCTGCGGACGGAACATTGTTCTTTACCAGCCTGCGACACAAAGCTCCACTGTTTCACATATGTCTTTTAATGGAAATTCTAATCCGAAGTCACTACTTGCGTGAACTACCAAATCAAATGGGTCAACATTTTTGGAGGGATTTCGTCTAGGCATTGCAAACAGTATGAATTTGAAGCAACAAAATCTTCACAGTTTTTATTGGCTATTCTTTCAGTATGTGAATACTGGCAAATTGCTTGGAGGTATTAATTCCAACTAAAGCATTGCAAGGTCGAATTGCTCTAAAAACTGATCGTTTTTCGATCAGGCTGCGATCGTTCTTCATGTCTCCAAACAGAATAATATTAATCGAATATTCACAAGAGAATAAATCATCAGAGTAACCAAGAACGTTTTACGTGTGCAGGCGAACTAATATCACGCAATGTTTCCATAGCTTGGGACCTTTGAATATTCCCTTTCTTTAGTTGAAAGTTGGAAAAGTGCCGGAAAGTTGGTGGTGCATCAATAACAACTGTTCAGTGTTTCGCCATTTGAAACAATTATCAGGTTAGCTTTTCTCATATATTGTCCCTATTAACGTATCCATGATTATAACCACATTATTTTTAACGTTGTTTAGAGGAAGACAGATATTTAAAAGAATCAATCATTTTGCAAACTTATTTTTCAGTTTAGATAGCCATTTGATTAAAAACCACTATTGCATATTCCCTTCTTTATATATATATTCATTTCTTGGACCAGGTTGTCTTTGATATTAAGTACTTTTAGTACTGTAAACATGTTAGATACCGTAAAATAA